GAAATTATGTCTAGATCACTAGTGGAACTTAAAGGGTTGATGTAGTTGTACAATTTGTTTCAGTTTCCTTCCCAAAGGCAAAGCAAAAATGCCCTTAATTAGAGGAGGCTTAGAACTTGGGTGGCAAGGCATCGTAAATGGAAAGTTATCTCTACAGGTCATTTTAACTGATCACCTGAATTATATTTTACCTGATACTTTAAATCACTGAGACAGTGTTTGAAATGAAATTATTTTCAATTTGTGTTAAGGTTAGACATGAACCAATTTCTCCAACATTTTAACTGTCCACTGAATTTTTTACCTGATACTTTAAGTCACTGAGATGTAAATGAAGTTTTTTCCAGTATGTTAAGGAATTTGAGAAGATGATTGTTCATTCTTTTTTCATGATTCTTCATTAAAAGAGGTATCAAAAAATACAGCATTATTTCCAGTATATAAAAAATTACTTAAATGTAAGCTTTGAGGAGATTGTTACATGGCTTGCCTTGCGTTTGCAATTAGAGGAATCAAATAGAGCAATTATCAATCAGATGTTGGAAGCAAACTGGGATTGTCTTTTTTTTACTTTCCTTGTGGTTGGTCTGAAAAACCCCTGCCACCCTCTCAACAAATCAGATGCAAAACTGGAACCTAAATTTCAACTTTCTCACATGCATTTTCCCACACTTCCAGCTGTTTGCTTTTTTCACTTCAAGGTCTGATTTGGCTCCATGTGATACTTATTTTAAGTTCTGGTAAGCCATTTTCAGATCACTTTAGTTTTGGTTATACAACTACAGTGAAAAAGCATCATAATGAAATTCTGATTTTTTTGCTGGCAAATGACTTACATTTGTCCTAATTACAATGTCTTGAAAACAATCAAGATTGACAGTTTCTGTGATATAAATTTATATTTTTTTGGTCAGCATGTGAAGATGATGTCAACACAATTTCTAGTTGATAATATGTATTTATTTAGAATGCAGAGGCACTTTAGATCTATTGTTGAAAAAAAATCAACAACAAGATACTGGTAATCAAGAAAAGTAACATACTTGTTTAGGTTTCTTTGTTTTTTTACCTCCTTATCCTGCAGCATGTCATGTAAAGAAGATAAATGGATGGAGTGGACTCTACAGAGGATTGTTACCAAGGTAAACTTTGTATGCTTTGATTTCCAGAGGTTTTTTTTTTTTTTTTGTCTTGGTGAGAAACCTAGTTGATTAATCAGAGAGAAATAAAAAATGTTACAGGTTTAATACTGTAATGACTGGAGGCTTCTCCTTGTTACTGAGCAAAAACATTAAGTCATGCTAACTTGTCTGTGTAGGATAATTTTCTGGTAAGACACCAGCATTATTGCACTGTGCATCCTGTACTGTGCATCAAAGTCAGGTCATCAGGGGAATTCCAAGAACATGCTATTGTTTTTCAATAATTGGACCAGGTAAAGAGGTTGTCTTGTCGTTGGCTCTTAAACCAGCATGGTGACCTATATTTTTATTGCAGAATTTTGGTGTACAAATTATCCCCTTTAAATTGGAGAAATTAAAAAAATTCATTGAAGGGAAAAAAAAATACAGCTAAAATCATACAAAAAGCCCATTACTCGATGATGCAAGGTACAGTATGACTTTGAAAGCAATAACTCAAGGAACATTTTGTTGCTTAAAATTGCGCAATTTCAGTTTCCACATATCAAATTGTTCTATATGCTTGAGAATTTCTACCCATCAAATTTTTTCAAGCTCTAATTTAAAACCTTCACCTTCAGCTACCTCAAAATGTATTTTGAACCCATGAAATGATGTGTGTGATTCGTGCCTGTACAGGTATCAATGGGGTAAGTTTGGCTCATCATATCTCTTACACAAGCATAGTGACCTTTCTTTTGAAATTTATTTTTCCAAACAAACATTGGTAGGAAACATTTAAAGAAATTAAAGAAAAAAAATTTTTCGATGACTTTCTTTTTCGAGGAATCCCTTTAATTAAATGGTTAGTGCACTGGACTCTGGTTGTAGAAGTCTGAAACCTGGCTGGGTAATTGTGTTGTGATCCTGGGCAAAACAATTAATTCTCACAGAACCTCTCTCCACCTAGGGCTGGGTTGAGATAACCTAGGGTTAGTGTGAAATTTGATATCAGATCTGAAAGCTTGAGGAGCAAATTCAGTTTATTTCTCTTTGACTACAATTTGATTATTGAATGCTCTGAAAACAATAGGTAAAATTATTCCAAAACTGCTTTTGAACAGAGAAATATAGAAACCTGGATTAAAATTTAACCCTGGGTTAGCACTAATCAGCCTTTAAACAACTGGGCTCAGGAGTATAAATGGGTGGTGGTTAATTGTCAGGGAATCTTGATGAAATACAGGGGGTAACCTTGAGATGGACTAGCATCCCATTCAGGGAGAACTAGTAATATTCCTTGTGGCTTCATGCTCTGAAAACTGGTATAAGCTGCACCTGGATGGGCCACTTGGCTCCAGTACAAACTCTTTTAGTCTCTAGAGGGGTCAAAAGTTAATAGCTTGATTTGAATGTTGATATTCTAAAGTACTCTTGCTGTGTCTCCACATGAAACCAAAGGACCCTAGTTTGTTCATCAGTAGAGAAATATTTTGCAGTGTGTGGGATGTATTTTTGTATGTTGAAGTATCTGCTCTGTACTTGGTTTCTATGAGGTGTAAGTCCCTCTAATCTCCAAGGTAATTTTCATCATTTTTGAGAAACTTTATTTCTGGTATTACATTAATTGTTCTGCTATAACTGTTGTTAGGGTATGCTCATATAATTGGAACTGTTGTACAATGCTACAGGTATTACCATGGGCATTTCTTCTGTAGTTTGATTTTTCCGAAGTATATAATCTTATGTGAATTGAATAGGTTATGGGTAAAAAAGACTCATCTATGATTGGAACTCTACCTGTCGGCCGACAGTGGACCGACAGTCGGCCGACTGTTGGTAAACAATACAATGGTTTTCGCTTGATACAACATGTGTAATACTTGACAATTGGTATTACTCCTAAAGGATGTGATTCACTTAAATTATAATTTGTCAATTATCGCATCACGCATCCAAGTCTAATTATCAAATTGTTGCGTATAGTAATTTATTACTTAACATAACGAGTAAAAAGATTCACAATTGTATCATTTATTAAACTTGAAATTGGAAATAGCAATTCATCCCAAACCTGCAAGATAGAGGATGATGTTAGCAACACAAATGCACAAGGTAAACATCATAACAACATTTTGGAAGAAACGTTTCTTTACATACTTTCAACTTTGCCGTCGATCGGTAAGTAAGTGAAGTCTGTCGAGTCATACATCACCATTACGGATTGTTATGTCACGTTAACTGTTCGTTTTTAACACAATTTTTCTTTTTTCTTAACCTGTCGGTAACCTGTTGGTTAAACTGTCAGTAACACAGTTGACCGACAGTCGGCCGACAGGTTTTTTGGGGAGCTCTTCTTCACAATTACCAAAGACATTATGGCACCCACTGGTTCTTCCAGAAATATGGTGGGATTGCTCTTTTTATTGTATGTTAGAAATTTTTTTTTAACTTAATTAGAATGATTTGAGTGGTACAGCTCTGTATGTTTATTTTTTTTCTCCATTTATTCTTGAAATTTTAGAGCAAGCAAGAAGAATTGCTAGAGTTTGTTGAAAAGGTATTGTAACCAATTTTTCTCTTACTTTTTGCTTAAAAAGGGGGAATCTGACTTTTTAGAATGAATATTATTTAGCACAGTGGTTTGTACACCAAACTCTGGACTGAAGGGTATGGGTTTGAACTTTGAATAACTCTTTACACCCTAACATCAGTATGCATAATCTCCATACTGTTCTCTATACATTTCCTAGGGTGCTGAATGGGAGAATATGTATAATAATCAATAGTTTCTTTTGTTGGTTATCATTTCCTTCATTCATGTGACCCTAATATTTGAACTAAAATATATTTTCACAAAAAAACTACACCACAATTATTTGGACATACTGGGCCACAAAACACGAAAGTAGGAGTGAAAGCAAATTTTGGGTGGCTTGCCACTGTTTAGCTGATGCATGCTGACATAAGCTCTTAAATACTTCATATAGAGACAGATCATTTGCAGTTGCAGAAAACAATCGTGTTGTGAAGCTGAAATGTTAACAGTTTACTTCGCGAAATAAAGTGTTAAGCAATATTTCAAAAGTGTTGATTAAACATACATCTTTTACTGCTGTAATAAACAACGGAGGTATCGGAAGAGGCACTAAGGAGAAAAATATGAGAAAATTCAGATTCCATCTTCAAAATTCGAGTGACTATCTCACTTTCCTAGTCTGGTTGCAGATTCCCTACCAATCTAACTCTTTTTCAAAAATTATTCGCAAATTTCATTCGACCACATCGCCTGACGAAGACCAGCAGTAAGACAATGGAAAAGTCGCGATCTCAGTAAGTTGATAATGACTTCTTATCATAAGACAAACGATTCAAAGTTTATTTACTGTATTATAACCACGCTTTACAAACACGTCTATGGCAGCAACTTTCTTTTCAAAACGAAAATTGATGTAACGAAAGTTCATTTTTCGCATGTTTTATGAAGGTCACACCTGAAAACTCAACTCCTTGAAGAATGATTTTCAAGGAATTTTTTTTTTCATTTCTTCATTTCATTATTTGATGTATTTGTTTATTTCATCTGAGTTCTGCTTAGTATTTTTATTACTTTGACGATAAATTCACCCTTCGAAGTCTAATACCAAGTTCAAAATTAGCTCTCAATTGGCCCTCCCATTTTGGAATATAATTGAACGACCGCGAACGAAGAGTCATTCGGTGCTTTCGGTCCGCCTTTCAAAGTCAGAAAACTCATTTGAATTACAAATATTTTTTGAAAGTTAATATTCATATTTGCGATCAGTTATACACGCGGAAAGAGCGTGAGAAGTTCAAGAAATTTCAACTTCTTTTGCAGCTTTTTCGGGCCTCAAAACACATCGCTTCCACGTTACAACCTTAGATTTCGTCCGCTCAGTCAAGTCCAGCTTGTGTCTCGTCGAAGTTGCTGATAAGGTGGCCCGAGTGCGACGTCGGGGATAAATGAATGTCGTTTTGTCTCGAATTTCTTCAAGGTAAATAGCTCGTGTAATTTCATCTTTAGAGAAGTGCAGTATCCGTGTCTCTTGCCGTTGCCCTCGTTCAAACTGGAGCTTTGGATATGGAAAGGAAAATTCAACCATGCACAGCCGCCCGGACAGTTCTACATGTGCCACGTGATTTACGGGCAACAGTGAGGAATTTTTACTTAATGGTTAGTTTATTGATAGCTAAATGTGCAGTAATTTATCTCTTCATTTCTATACTCGTTTTCTTATTCTACATACAGTCACTTGCGCTCACAGCATGTCAAAATTAGATTTGTTGTAAACGCGCTTGTTACTTCTCAGACTCCCAACCATGCCCGCAAAGTAAAAAATCGGTGATTTTGAAAGCATTTTGAAGTAGAATGGGTTTAGGAAACCAGAGGAATTTAGTTTCCATGGAGTGAGTAAATACTGGATATCTCGCGCCAGCTCAAATCAGCCGAATCGAAAGATCTTGGTTGAAACCTTGTGTTATGTGCTTTGGTGAGAAAATTCAACATTCACAGCAACTCTCCACCAGGAGTTTAAATAGTTACCGGTGAACTGTCAGAGAAATCTGACAAACTACTTGAGGGTGCCCAACCAGAAGAAGAAAAAGCGAGGCTCTTAGTACATGTGCTATCATACCACAGATACCGGAATAAACTTTAATGGCTGTGGGACTTGTAATTAGTTTCGTGTGCAGGGAATAAATAGCCTTTATCTCAAATTGCTTTTCACTTTCTCGAAGGATGTTGAATGTAATGTTACTTCTCTGTATTAGAATGTAAGCTTTTATTATCTCCTGATGTAGTTCTGTCGATATAGATACCGTTCTTAAGCATTAAACTGATGTGCATACTTAAAGAATGATGTGAAAGTTTTAGAAATCAATTCATTTGTATCTCGAAGTTTGGTTCTCTCCTTAGGAAAACATCAAGCATAGAATATGAACTTCTCAAAGTAAGAAATTCGAGGGAGGAAAGAGAAACCGGACAACTTTTAATCTGGTTAGTAATTCAGTTAACCCCATCCGCCCTAAAATTAGTATGCATATTCTCTATACTGTTCCCAATACATTACCTAAGGTGCTGATGAGGAGAATTTGTTTCATAATCAAGAGTTTCTCTAGTTGACCATATCCTTTATTCTCATGACCTTAATGTGTGATTTTGGGATGATATTGTGAGGAGAAATTAGATGCTAGTTACTCTTAGGGGTTAACGGTTTACCCTTTTACTCCCAGATCTCACTAGCAATTCTCCTTACTGTCTGCCATATTCTTGTTAACATCTCTTTTTGTTATATTCTTTATTGCATAATTTCATTTTATTTCTCATTATACAACTGACAATGGATGATGTTTCATCCGAAACATGTCTTGTTTTCATTAAAAAAAATATCTAAAAAATGAACTTCAAAAGCATCGTATGGTTGATCAAATCGATATAAACGTCTTTGCTTGTCTTCACCAGGTGCTTTTTCTACCTTTATTGATTTACTTCATCAATTTGCCTTTGTTGTACTTCATTTTTTGTCAAGTATCTCAGCAACAGTTCGCAGCCGAATTCATCAAATTATGACCTGTATGGCCCTTCACCTGCTCGTTCCTTTTACACTCGTATTAGAGTCTGACGCGATGGGGCGCTAGGGCCGGGAAAAGGTGAAAGGCGAAGCGAGAGGTGGTTTAATGAAAAACTGCTCTTTGCCCGAGTTAGGTGGGGCTGAACGAGAAATTATTTGGCTCTCTGCCAAGCCAAATAATTTCTCGTGCGGCCGCCCACACTGATGGACTGAGTGGTAGGACAATGATATTAGTTTGGAGATTTGAAATTGGATCAACTAATATTCCCCTAATTGACACGTTTTCTTTATTCTCGTCACTCGTCTGCCAGATATGGTAGTAAGGAGAAGTTCTGTCTTGGTCACTAATGAGAGTTAAAGGGTTAGGCGAAGAAATTCCGCACGGTGTCAAGGCAGATTTATTTACCATGCACCTGCTTTTTATGTGATGTACATTGCGCGCCATAGTTTCTTAAAAAACAAAACGAAACAAAACAACCAAACAAAAACAATACTAGCATACAAATGTATGTACGACTGATGTGCTGTGAACGCGTAAATCTGGATTTAACGGACTGCAAGTAGAAACTAACCGGGTCGAAAGAAAAAAAAAAGAAATGACATATTCCCTTACTTTAGAGCGCTTTTGGTGTGATTAATCTTTTTCTTTGTTTCTGTTGATAATAAAACACTGGTGTCAAAGAGTTACGTAATGGTTATCGTACATGAAAATTCATCTAACCTATCTATTATGGCGATGTTTTAGCCTGACAAATATTCCCATAACTTCGACATATTTCTAGAGAATATCTTGAAATTGATTAAAATGGCAAGCCTAAAACTATTATTGCTAGGATTTAGCTGATAAAAAAATTATCTGCTATTTTCCTTTTTTCGTTCGCAGCCGGAAAAAACGATACATTTTTGGATATTACGAGGCACTTATTTAAAGAAAGTCGTACATGTACTCTCATAACATTCTTTTTTCTTCAAGGGCAGGGTCAAGAATAGAATGAAAGCAAAAATTTGGAAATCAAGAGATACAAGGGAGGAAAATGAAGATGGAGGGAAGCATCCAATAAGGTTTGTTATTTAGTTTGTGACGACTGATTAAGTTATGTATAGTTTATGGGGCTGGTTTGCGTCCAGTAAACTGAACATTTTATTTTGCTGAAAACAAAAATATTTCGTAGTTTTCTCCATTCCCCAATCTATTCGATGTCTGTTTGAAGGAGATGACTTACAGTACTGTTTGATGAAGTGATATTACTGCAGGCAGATACTTTGTTGATGGTAAACATTGGTATCGAAGAAATTCTTCGTCATTGTCTGTAATGTTATAATTAAAAGAAACTTGCGCGTGAAATATGTTCATAGAAGAGGTGACTTAATATTGTCAATCAATCAAACATTGACGATGATGTTAAACTTTTTCAACCTAAAATTCTGTTCGTTTTGAAGGTTTTTTGAGATCTTTTAATGTGATCTTTCAGTAAGGGGCGTCCTGAAAAGAAATTTGTCGTTATCAGTAATCGCTTTTTCGAAAACTTGAGCAGAATTTTTGATAACAGTCAAATAAATTTTTTTTTCCGAGAAATTGCCAAAAGTCTGGGCAGTTTTCCTAAAGATCATCGATCAACCCCCGAGCAATTATTAAGAGACGTTGCCCTTTACCGACAAGTTGCTTGACGAATAATCCCTAATTTTTACACCACCTAAAGCTAAGCTATAAGGACTCTAATAAGACCAGTAGTGCTAGTTTAAACATACTAGATGGCTTATCTGACGAAATAAAGCTAACCGTGTGCGTTTTATGTTACTGATGAATTTCTTTATTGGATTTGCAGAGTCGGAAGATGAGGATGAAAACAGGGACTCAAAGAGGATTGGAGAATTGGAATGGGAAATGCACAGAGAGATCAATGATGAAGAACTCGGCAAACTGTAAGTTGTTTGACTAACTTTACAGTACGAAATTAGAGAACGATGCCAAAATACTCATTAGCTTGACTATCCAAAATATTCTGATGATAACAGCGTTGTTACAAAAACTACAAAGGTAGAAAACAACAACCATTGTAAAGTATGTTTTCCGATGTACAGTAACAGAACTTTCAGGGAATGTTTTCTGCGCTGAATAAATTTAACGAAAAATCCTCCTAAGGTTAAAGAATGACCAATCACATTTTCCAGTCGAGAGGAAGTCCCAGCTTAACCTCTTAACTCCCATGAGTGACCAAGAAAGAATTTCTCCTTACAATATCTATACAATATCAAGCAGACAAGTGATGAGAATGAAGTAAAATGTCAATTGGGAGATTATAGTCGATCAAACACCAAATTATCCGAACTGACATCATGAGAATTGGTTGGCAGACAGTACGGAGATTTACTAATCAGATCTGGGGGTGAAAAGGTTAAATTGATTGAACGGCTGTTATTCGAGAGCTAGTGAACCAGTTAAAAGGTCATTTCAAATAAAAAAAGTTCCTAGACAGATAATTAGTCCCTAAATTTTGTAAATATTTTCAAGTCAAACATTTAAGACAAGTCACTGAAAACCGTTTCAACTCAGAAAATTTACTTTCTTAACCATTCACAGAACTCTTTGGATATCAGGTAGTCTCAGATCGACTGGGTTAATGTAGTTCTCTCTTAAGATAAAGTCTTTTAAGTGAGAGATCACATAGTTACAAAACGAACATATTTAATTTTCTTTGAAGAGCTTTTAACAGATAATGAAAACTACCAAAAGATTTACCAACTTAAAATATCAACTCCCTATTGCTATGATTGGTTTTTTTAATATGTGGTGAACATAAGTTATTTTCATATTACTTGAACTCAATAACACTCAACCGTGATGGGTAAGCTAAATATTAATAAACAAATGGCTGTGACAAATGAATTTTAACGCCGTATGGTTCCCAAGCGTAAACATTGTTGGTATGCACAAAATAGTTACCGTGATTTTTTTTTCTTTGTTGCCGAAGATCATTCCCGTTGTCACAACTCTAATATTAAAAAATTAATTAAAAGTTATACGCCTTCACATTATCGAAGAGAAGTTTCTGGCTTGTGAGCTAATTCCGAGAATCATGATGGTTTTCGTAATTTGTTTACTGCGTTGATTGAATCAAGTTGAAGGCACGTGACTGGACGTGTGACTAAGAGAAATCATTCGCTTGAGATTCGTAGTGTTCTCGAAAACAATGAGTTGTTGACAACAACATTATTTCTCATTTTTGGTATTGTTTACCATCCCCTAAAAATCGCTCCGGCCATCCGATGGAATATGCTGTTACACAAACGTTTTGGCCGTTACCGGCTATACGTTATGGCGATTCATGAATGTCTTGCACGATTGTCGCAATTCGTCCGGCACTGGGTAAGATTTTGTGCTTCGACATGCCACAAACATCATCAAAAGTAAACTCCCCACATGGAAAAAGTAATTTGAGCGTCTGCTTTAAATCCTTGCAACTCGTTCGCGGCCAAATGTTTCAACTTTGTTTTTTCTGATCAGGAAGTTGATAATTATAAACATCGATACGAGCTTCGGTTTTTACTTCAAGAATGAGAGTACATTGACTGAGTAATGATTACTCTAGCTTTATGTTCAGTTAACATGCGTGCTGCACACGAGGTTACACGCTAGTGTGCTGTGTCCGCTCGCACGCTAGCTTTTGTATTCGAAGGTTAACACGCTTTGCGTGTTTGCCTGCTCGTGCTTCATTTTTCAACAGCGCACGCTGTATTGGTTGTAGGGTGTTATATGAAACAAAAGCATATGCACATTTAAGTGTGCTCTAGCGTACTCAGCAAGCGTGTTCGAGCCAGTTTCTTTTTTTAAGTAGAAGTGTGTTGTGAGCATGCTATTACCTTTGTCCCTATACTCATACGGAGGGTCATTTCATTGAAGGTATCCATTGTCGCATACAACTTCTCTCTTCCTAGAAACACTTTTGTGAGCTATCACAGTACAAAAAAGAGAAGCGAGTCAAGTAAGATTGTGAACTATATCCTGAAAATTCTACAAAGCAGTAACTATCGTTTTACGCTTATCATATTGATGAATGTAACTTGGACTTCATAGAGATAAGCCATTTTTTAATTGCACCCATGTTGCCGATTATAACGTTTTGAAAGAGAGATTTTCAGTTGGTTTTTAGTTGAGAGACATACTTTCCACAAACATCACCATACGTGTCTCTGCCAGCAATCTGCGTCGAAACAGAACATTTAGAATGAGTAAGATTGTCGACCGTTGCTTTAGAATTCTGCAATATTTTCATTAAATATCGGATGAATTTAATCGTTGTGAGCTTTTCAAAAGGAGTTTTCACTTGAGAGATTGCAAGATGTTTCTTTTGGCACTTAAGCCGTTTACTAGCAAAAACAGGAGATTTACGCGTCGACACTTGTGCAGCAAAATCAAGGCCATTCTTGGTTCTTACATTTAAATGAAACGATTTGAAGAAGGGATCTGTTAGTACAGGTTAATAGGATTTTATTGTGTTTTAGTTTATTTTTGCTTTTATCCGAAGAGTTTTTGCGGTTTGTTTAGAGAAAGTACTTAGCTTATGAAAGCGGATTTTTCTAACCAACAAATGCAAACACGTCCTCCTCTAACAATGGATATAATACTTACACTGTAGGAGCATACTTGTTACATTAAACTGTTGCTAAGAAAAATTAAGTCTAAATAGTTTAAAGAGGCCGGGAATGCAAAACAACAGACTGAGTCGAAAAAGCAGAACAATACCTTTGAGCTCTAAAGATAAATTTTACAATTTTTATGCATTGAGAATGTAACTTTTCATTCCAAGGCAGCCACTGTTTCGAGTAATGCATTTTTCATCAAAGGAAATAAAAAACGTTGCAGCAAGGCATGAGTGCACTGCTAAATAAAGCGAAGGATTGTAATCGACATCCAATATTTTTTTAGGATTTTTTGCGAACAAGACTCATTTCCTTCAATATTTTTCCTACATATAGAAGAATTTTGTTAAATTACTAATGCGTTCCTATAAATCTCTAAGGTCCCGAAGTGCACAAGCTTTCCACCCCTAATGATGGGTGGAAAGTATTTACCTCATTTATCTTTGTATGTTACAGCAATTGAGAGAAGAATTATAGTGTTGAGAACCATTTCTTTAAATTTGGTGTCGAAAGGGGTACGGTGTCTAGCTTTGCAACAGAAGTGGCCAGTGATAAAATCCGAATAGTAACCGAATAGTCGCGAATTGTGACGAATAGTGAAAATAAATGAATTTATAATGAAATAAAAATATTTATTGCCCTATTTCATAGATTCATTGGATTCAAATGTGTGTATATAACGATTATATGACAAAAAAGATATAGGGTAACATATGGACTAGATCATTGGACCCTTGGACTATTTTTTGGAGCATTTCTTGGAGCATTTTTTGGACTATTTTTTTGGACCATTTTATCGGGGGGGGGGGGGGAGGCAGACCATTAGTACTTTAACTTTTTGTCATGTGAATGCGAAACTGGCACCTAAACACTGGACTATAATTGTTATAGAAAATATCGCCAACTCCTGTTTTCGATCCTCCTCTGTGAAGTCATGCGTGTGCCTGTTTACTCGACTTGTGCCAGTGCTAAATGATACTCACAGGTTAGTATGAATCATATTTCAGTTGCCTCACGTTTTCCTTTTTGTATGTGCCAAAAAAAGCGAGGAAAAAGCGCGATGGTTTTATAAGTGGTTTCACATCATGGAGTGTAATCCAGCTGTCAATGAAACTCTCTTGAGATTAACCTTTTTTGTCAAACAATCAGTATGTATACACATTTGAATCCAATAAATCTACAAAACAGGGCAATGAATATTTTTATTTCATTATCAATTCATTTATTTTTACTAATCACCACTATTCGTCACTATTCGTCACTGTTCGCGACTTTTCGCACTATTCGGTCGCTATTCGGGTTTTCTCACTAGCCAACAGAAGTTCGTTTGAGAGAGATAACGATGTGTTTGTTTTCGGATTATACATTTTTACCCCCAAAGAATTTACCAATATGGGTCAATAGAATTTCTTAATTTCTGAGCAGAGCCTTCGTCCTTTGTACGAGAAAAAATTTTCTCTTTGAAAGGGGCTTTTTGTGATCAAGAAGGACAGGTTTTTAACTCAAACACGGAATTTCTAAACATGGATGGTACGTGTCATTTGAAATTTTAAATATTTAACTAGCTGTAGCTTAAAACCGTTGTCAAACAAATGTATCCATAAATCA